TCATATTTTGTGTTATCCCACCATATTCTTTTATCTTCATGATACATCTCATTTTGTATTTCAGTATTTATCAAGTCCACTATTGCCTTTCTATAAGGTTCTCCTTTTAAAATTTCTGTATTTAAAATCCATATCCCTTTTCCTCTTTCGGTTTCATTAAAATCAATCTTCATTAATAAAAACTTGTGGTCGCTTGGCGCTGTTCTTTAAAATAAACACTCTATAAAATCACCCAGTTTTTCCTTGCATAAAATAAAATCAATCCTACTTTCCTTTAAGTTACCAGCTACTAAATGTCTTCTTGAATATTCTCTTTTTCCTTCATTCCTTACTCTCCATATGTCCACTTCTTTGTGCTCTGCCATTAGTTTCTGCAACTCTTTTCTCCCAGTGTCATTCCTAAAAACCATGCCATCCGCTAAATCAGTTCTATTAAAAACCGTGTTAAAATATCCAATTAAAATAGTTTCTCCCCATAAAATCATTAGATCATTTATGCTGTTTAAAAAAGTCCTTCTTTTCTTTTTCTGCTACTGGAGCATGAATGTTACATAATGTTGTATTATTTTTCTCTCATTCTAATAGCAAGGCATTTTCCCTCTTTATCATTGTATATTTCTTCCACATCATTCTTTATATCTTCTTTGACTAAAATAGCGACCCCTCTTCCCATCCTTCCATCACCATTGTTATAAAATATATCCCCCCTCCATCTCCTGTTAAAATCTTCCATCACGCCATTATTCCGATTAGTCTCTTGTAAACAAATTAAGTTTTGTTTTTTGCACAGTTCCTTTACCTTGTCAAATTTTCCAACATTCAAAAGACCTCTTGTATTAAAACTAACACAATTAAAAACCATTAAAAGAAAAGATACAAATAAAAATAAATACTTAAAATTAGTGCTACCAAAATTAACGCGTTAACGCATGCGATTAATTTTGAATAATTAACGCATTAAAAAAAATTAACGCAATTAACGCATGCAGGTTTTTTTACATCCTGTTGTGGTAGACATGTGTTCAACATGCAATAAATGTGGATAAGACCAAGGAAGCACTTTTTGAAGGAAAGTTCCAGTATAAAACAATTAGGTACATCACAGGTTATCCAGAATTTCATGCAATTTCGAGTGTTTCATTTTTAACTTTCGACTTCTGTTGTAAGTTGATACCGCATGGCGAACAGAAACAAAATCATCCACATTTCGTGAATCGGTGTTCCTTTAAAGGGTCACGAAACACCAAAACACATTTTTTGAGCTGTTGACAGTCGTATATGTGTCCCACACTGCTAAAAACACTATTAGGACACCTATATTTCACTAAAAAGTGTAAATTGGTTGTTTTTGCGTTATTTCAAGCAAATTCGTACTTCCTGTTTGAAACGAATTTTTGAAGCTGCGTCACGGTCATGACATAATAGCGTGTATTCCACCGTGCAGACTGGGCGTCTGTGCCTGAGTGTGCCTTATTACGTCTTACAGTGTGATGCATTAATGCATGAGTAAGGCTTGGTTCAAACCAATCAGCGCGCTCTATTGTGCAACTTCATTAATATTCATTAGTGTCACCGTCTTTACACTACAGAGACGCCACGTTGTGTTGGCAAAACAAGCGTGAAGTGTTGCTTTTACAGTTTGCTGCCATTAAGTTTCGTTTTCATTTTCTCTCTGTGAGAGCTCATCTGGATCACGTGTGGATTACAGTGTACGCGACGCTCGACAACAATAATTTACGTGTCTAAGGGGGATTATTGTTTACCTGAGAGCTGTTCTCATCTGCAAACGCTGAAATCCGGATTCCGGATGTAGTCTTCTCTTCATAAAGACGCGGCTCTAGTTGCTGGTGATTGTCCTGTCTCTACAGATTTGGTAAGTGAGCGACCAGTGCTCTTTGTTTATTCAGTTTGTTCGTATCAAATAAGTTAACTTTTGCATTGAGTGCAAACATGTTAGCACCGCATTTTGTGACCGGAATAACACACGCGGCTTTCGGACGCTACCTGCCGAGTGCATCTAAGTTTCCGGGAAATGCGGAGGTTTTTTTTCTCTCATTCGCCGTGCGGTATTAAACATTGCATGAAAAATACACGCTTAGAGCAGATCTTCGAATCAAATATCTCATTTGTCGCGAGGGGCATGAATGAATTCCCTGAATGAAAGAGCCAAACTGCAGTTAAAGTCCAACATTTAATAATTTGGCAAATAATTCAACTACAGATGTCCATGTAGGTTAAACACCATCCCTTTCTCCTGTGTATTTTGACTGAAACTCGCGCGTGCCCAAATAGACACTCCCACACCATCCCACTTTAGTTCCTCCGACACTCCCCCCTAAACAGAGCTGGACACCCCCACTTTTCTGACTTTTTTCAAAGAAGAGGTGTGAAAACACCCTGCTGAAACGAGGGGGTTTCATGGCCCTTTAAGGTAAGGTTCCTTTTAAGGCTACACGGTAAAATTTTAATAAGAGTATTATCTTAATCATATTAAAATCGGAGTATTGGTGTCTTACTTAAATGTACTCAGTACGTCTGGTGAAGTCGTGAGCTGTCAAAGACAGGGCATTACTCTGCCTTTCAGCATGAGCCCTCCAAGTTTAGCGTGTTTCCTCATTAAACGCAACGAAAGCGTATGCTTCGCGTTGTTTTGTCAGAATCCTTGTGAAATACAGTAATACTTTAGGAGGCTTAGTTTAAGCAAATTTGATGAACTTGATCATGCGTGTTGAATCTGAGGGGAGTCGCTCCAGTATGGAAGGCCGTTGGGGCCAAAATGTCTGCAGCGCGTTGTGTGTGTCTGTCTGTGTGTTTGTCTGTGTCAGGCCCGTTGAGGGGTGTCAGGGGTGAAGTGAGCGACGTATCTGAGTAGGGGCGAGAGGGGTGTGCAATGTATTTAACGACTGGTTTGCAAGAAATTATCATTCATTTGCGGGCATTTGGGAGTCTCTGTGCACTTGCGGGATATTCCTAGCAACTGGATGAATGTAAAGGAGGATTAAGCAAAATTGTTTCTACTCTATAACTAATGTTCTCAACTCACAACAATAAAACTTTACAATGAGTGCAACAGTTTGTATTCTATAGTTTATTATTATAATTTTTCATTTTCCATATCTGCAATTCCTGTATTTTGGCATTTTTTTGCAGTCCACTTAGAATCCAACATGGAAATCAATGTTTTCTTTATTGGCATTGATTGTTTTGAAATTTAAATGTCATTAACATGCCTGTGTTTTAATTTCTTTAATAAATATGGCTGTCAAGCCAGGATCTTGATGGTTTATTGTGGGTATGTTGTTTGCATGAAGAATTCTGTGTTACAAGTTAAACAAAAATTCTATTAAACAATTATATTTTGAATATAAATAATTTTTTGTCTTGCGTTTACATTAATTTTACATTTAAATAGGCAAAATTACAAGTTTCAGTATATTAAATGTGATTAATCGCGATAATTTTTTTTAAAAAGGTGCGATTAATTAGTTAATTTTTTTTTTAATCGATAGACAGCACTAATATATACAGGGAAAGCTGCCCTCATATCGAACACACACTCACATATGCATAGGCTAATATTATTATTTTAAAAAGTAACAGAAAAAAGGGCACTTTCTCTCCAGAAGGAAAAAAGGGCTCTTAATACAATTTATGCCCCCTTCCTATCTCTCCGCACCCCTCGTTGAGAACCAAGAGAATCGCTCTCGAGGTTAACTAGGCAGCCGCACACTTGACCCGTGTGCATAGAGTAGGTGAGATCAAAGTCCCTTTACGATATTCTATAGTCTTTGGGTGAGCTGGGACGCGGGCAGTGGACCAAACCATTGTGAGGAAGGGATCTCTCAGCTGTTTCTAAATGCATTTTTTTTTTAGTTTGCTCCATCTTGCTTTTCTTCAAAGGACACAGATGTTTAATCAGCTGTTGTTCAGTGGTGAATTAGAAAACTTAACTATTAATATTAAGCATAACCACCGTCCACCCTACATCTACGCCCCTGTATGAAGTAGTGTTCTAGGTTATAACGATGCGTAAAGAATGCTCCGGCTTCAATACAGTGCGTTACAGTACACGACTGCCCCCTACTGTTCATGTCTTTATTTGCTAGACCATCTTTCCGTGCTAACGCGCCATATGTCGTGGACATCACAAGATCACTTTGTTTCATGTGCATGTTAGTTCATGCCAGATGTGTATATACATTTACCTGATTTAATTTTTTTACTTTTTGTTGCCTTGTCACCTGCTAAAAAAGCGGGGGATGTAGCTTCTTGTGTGTCAAGTGACGTAACGGAAGTGGGTGGAGCTAGAGGGGAACGTCGGTGGTGGGAGCGACAGAACAGAAAAGCTCGTTACTGCTGAAGAACGTAATAAAATAAGCTAGAAGCTATTACTTGTGTGTGTGTGTGTGTGATCATCTAACATCTACACAAACCATCCAACTTCCCCTTCCACCACTACAATGTCTATCCATCCATCCATTTATTCATTTTATTTTGTAAATGTGCAACATTTTTCCCGCTGATCTCAAAAATACAGTAATTTTTACTGACAGAATTTTAGGTGCAGGCTAGGACTGTCTCTGCCATTTGCAGATAACGTTGTCTTTTTGGCTTCATAGGACATGGAACTTCAGCATGCAGTAACTGGGACGGTTTGTGTGACATGGCAGGGAAAGAAACAGCACCTCTAAGAAACCATTGTGCTTGACTGGAAAAAGGTGGCCATCTCCAGTTTGGAGGAGAGTCTTTACCCCAAATGGAGTTCAAGTATCAGTGTTTTCCATGAGGAATGGAATGTGAGATTTAAAGATGGATCAGTGCAGCGGCAGCAGTAATGCAGTTGATGTGGTTGTCTGTTGTGGTGAAGGATCTGAGACGAAAGGCAATGTTCGTAATTTACTGCTCAATCTAGGTTCCTACTCTCACCTATGGTCATGACTGAAAAGAACAAGATCTTGGATACAACCGGCCACATTTTGCGAAGTGTTATGACCCGCTTGTTAGAGTCGCACCATAAGAGTGCCAACAAAATAGCCTGAATGCAAATTATTTATTATAAAAGTAACTCATAGAACAAACAATCAAAGCAACCAACAAATGTCTATGGATAATAATGACGATAAAGAACTTAAAATCACAACAACACTTTAACAACATGACAAAAGTAATGCAAAACAAAACCATAAGGTTAAAGAGCCAATGAGATGGCAGGTCTTGACATGTGGACTCCCGTGTAGCCACAGCGTCCTGGGGTAGCTAGCACAACAACTTTTATATACCCATTGATGAGTAATGCAGGCATCCAATCAGGATTTACCACATACTCCAATCTGGAGTCATCACAGTGTATAAATATTGTAAAACTTAATACCTGTCGCTCTGCCTAAATCATAAAATATTCATCAAGTTTGTATTCTACTCAAAGTAAATGAAGTAAACTAGAAAAATCTAGAATCTAAAAGTAAAGAAACTTCACTAATAAAAGCTGCAACACAGGACAATTGAATGGGCTTTTAAAACTTGAGGCCCTGGTATACTGCAAACTAAGCGTCCTAGAGCTCCACCTTCTTTGATGTGCGGTGTCTTCCCAGTGATGTCTCTCATTCAGGGAGTCAGACAGTGAACATCATTTAAAACAACACTAGCTACATGAATACACTGGAGAGAGTACAAATTTATCTGCACTGGTACAATCACTTGCAAAGAGATTTTAAGCTGCAGAGGAGCTGTTGGCCAGATGTTTATGACAGCCACCACCACGGTGTTTACGGTAAACGCGAGAAGCGCAACACATTTACAACCCGACCTACTGCAGTGTAGGAGTGTTGGAAAACAGTATACTGTCACTCAGCCTTTTCAAACATTATTCAGACATGAAACATCCAGTGCACAGAGAAAATGTTTTGCTGCATTCATGTCATGTGTGCAACTTTTTTCTCTATGTGTTTCTTAAGCTGCGCCGAATGATTAAAACTCTGTAGACACTGATCAGATCTGTACGGTTTCTCTCCAGTGTGAATCCTGTTGTTTTCAGATGTGTTAACTGATTAAACCTCTTGTAAAAACACTTGTACAGTCTCTCCAGAGTAAATCGTGGGTCCTCATGTGCTTATTAAGTGATGATGCTTGGCGGAAACTCTTCCCACACTGAGTGCATGTAAATGGTTTCTCTCCAGTGTGGATCCTCATGTGTAGATTAAAGTTTGATGATTGGCTGAAACTCTTCCCACACTGAGTGCATGTGAATGGTTTCTCTCCAGTGTGGATCCTCATGTGTTTATAAATGGATGATGATTGGCGAAAACTCTTCCCACACTGAGTGCACGTTATTGGTTTCTCTCCAGTGTGGATCCTTATGTGTTGATTAAGGTGTGATGAGCGGTTGAAACTCTTCCCACACTGAGTGCAAGTAAATGGTTTCTCTCCAGTGTGGATCCTCATGTGGTGATTAAGGTGTGATGAGCGGTTGAAACTCCTCCCACACTGAGTGCAGGTAAATGGTTTCTCTCCAGTGTGGATCATCATGTGGTCATTAAGGTGTGATGATTGGCTGAAACTCTTCCCACACTGAGTGCATGTGAATGGTTTCTCTCCAGTGTGGCTTATCATGTGAATCTTAAGTTTGCTTTTGCTTGCCAAAATCTTTCCACACTGAGTGCAGGTGAAACAATTCTTGTCTCTCCTTTTCAAAATACCATCAGTCTGTAAATGAGTTTTTTCCCCAATTTTGACATGATGTTCCTCCTCTTTCCTCTCATTCTCTTCAATTAAGTCTGAAATAAATAAATAAAAGATTAGTTTTCATCAAGTCTAAAAATCTCATCAAAAGCTGAAAAGTAAAAAGACACTGGAAACATTGGCTACACACACTTATTTTGATGCATGTTAAATGTAAAATAAAATCAGATCATATTTTGTTCAGTCATTAACATGTACACATTTAAGCAGATTAAATTATTCTTTATTTATCTACTGCTTTTACAATGTAAATTGTGTCATAGTCGCCTAACATAGAAGTCATTGTAAATTGAAACGCTGTCAGTCTAGTTTTCAGAGTTTCTTACATAATTGATCATAAAAGTAATTTTGGTCACATTGATAAGACACTGACCACAAACATGCATGGTGACCGAATTTTGGACCACTGCTATTCTCCGTTCCGGAAAGCCAACAAATCCCTCCCCCACCCACCGCTAAGCAAAGTAGATGACTCTTCTGTTCTGCTCTTGCCTGCTTACAGACAGAAACTGAAACGGGAACCACCCACCCTCAAGACGTTTCAAAGCTGGACGGACCAATCGAGTTCCATACTTCAAGAATGTTTTGATCATGTAGACTGGGAGATGTTCCGTGCAGCTTCTGATGACGACATTAAAGTTTACTCAAGACACCGTTACATGCTTCATCAGAAAGTGTATAGAAGACATGGTCCCAACAAAAACTGTTCGTATCTACCCCAACCCAAAACCATGGATTGATGGCAAAGTTCGAACAGCCCTATCAGTGTGAACCTCCGCCTATAAATCCAGAAATGCTGAGGAACAAAAACAAGCAAACTACAACCTCAGGTAAACTATCAAAGCAGCAAAACATCAATACAGAGGTACAAGGTAGAGGGGAGGAGTATGTGGCAGGGACTTAATTACATCACAAACTTTAAAAGTAACAAACCCGCCACAGTAAACATTTCTGCATCTCTCCCGGACGAGCTCAACTCATTCTACACCTGCTTTAAAGCCCAGGACAGCACCCACACACTGTGCGCTCCCGTGGCCGATACCGAAACTGCCAGCACACTCTGTTTCTGTAGCAGACGTAACGAGATCTTTCCGGAACATCCGGAAGGCTACGGCCCAGATGGCATCCCTGGACGTGTACTTAAAGCATGCGCACACCAGCTAGCGGGGGTTTTCACGGACATCGTTAACCTCTCGCTCTCTCGGTCTGTGGTTCCCACATGCTTTAAGACAGCTACTATTGTGCCCATACCGACATAATCTAAAATTACATGCTTAAATGACTGGCGTCCAGTTGCTCTGACACCCATCTTCAGCAAGTGCTTTGAGAAGCTGTTTAAAAAGTACATCTGCTCTGTACTGCCTGCTCACACTGACCCTCTGCAATTTGCTTACAGGAATAATCGCTCCACTGATGTTGCAATTGCTTTCACGTTGCACACTGCTCTGTCTCACCTGGAAAACAAAAACACATATGTGAGAATGCTGTTTGTGGACTACAGCTCAGTATTCAACACTATAGTGCCTGCCAAACTAGTGGTGAAGCTCTAAGCTCTGGGTCTACACAGCTCTATGTGCATCTAGATCCTGGACTTCCTATCAAGCAGACGCCAGGTGGTCAGAATGAACAACATGACCTGATCCACACTGATGATCCACAGAGCTGTGTTCTCAGTCCACTCCTGTACTCCCTGTACACACGCGACTGTACAGCCAAACACAGCTCCAACGTCATCGTTAAATTTGCTGATGACAGTGGTGGGCCTAATCACAGATAATGATGAGATGGCCTACAGAGAGGAGGTTTACACTCTGACGCAGTGGTGTGAGGAAAACCACCTCTCACTCAACATCAGCAAAACCAAGGAGCTGGGAGAAGAGAGAACACACCCCCATCACCATCAACGGGACACCAGTGAAGAGTCAGCGCTTTCAAGTTTCTTGGAGTACACATTGCTGAGGATTTGACATGGACTGCTCACACAGACGCAGTGCTAAGGAAGGCACAACAACGCCTCTTCTTCCTCGGGCGTCTCAGGAGGTTTGGAATAAGCCCTCACATCCTCCGCTCGTTCTACACCTGCACTGTGGGGAGCATCCTGCGTGGCTGTATCACCACCTGGTATGGAAATAGCACCAGCAGCAATCGCAAAGGCCTACATAGGATTGTGTGAACTGCTGGACGCGTAGTAGGAGGTGAGCTTCCCTCCCATCACGACATCACCAGGCAGTGCATGAGGAAAGCCAAGTGAATTATAAGCGACTCCAGCCACCCAAGCCATAGACTTTTCTCTCTGCTTCCCTTAGGCAAATGGTTCTGCAGCATCCGGTCGCGCACCAGCCGACTAAAGGAAAGCTTCTTCCCTCAGACTATCAGGCTGATGAACACTTAATACCCCTCACTGCACACCATGTATATGTGGCATGCACTGCACTTTAACCAATACATACCTAAAACAATACTGCCTACAACTATGGGTACACATATTCATTATACATATCGCTGTCAACAATTATAATGCTGCCAAATTATTTTGTACTATCTGTATTTTGCACTGTCATTATATTTGCACTGTCTGTATTTTGTTCTGTCGAGAGCCAGCACCTAAGCTTTTCTCTCATCATAGCACACGTGCTGCTGATGATGTGACAATAAAAGTGATTTGATATTCATGGCCATTTTTTCTTCTTTGGCCTTTATTATAGCAACATTTATATATACCCCTACATACAAAACCCACAGATACCTTTCGGGTGCTTCGGATGCTTCTGATAAATGTTTTCAACAGCCCATAAAATGGGTGGAGTAAAGACAAACTTTACCAGTTGGAATGTGCGGAGGCTAAATCACCCAATAAAACGAAACAATAAAAATCAGTTAAAAACAGTTCAAATCCGATATAGTATATTTACAGGAGACACATCTGTTGAAAAATGACTATTCTAAACTTAGAGGAGGCTATACACAAATATATTATTCAAACTTCAATAGCAAAAGTAGGGTCGTTGCTGTACTCATACATAAGAATGTACAGTTTGTCATTGAGTCAAATGTGCTGGATAAAAATGGCAGAAACATAATAATCCAAACTTTTAACATGTCTGTGGTCCTGGCCTATGTGTATGCTCCTAATTGGGACAATGTACACATTTTCATTGATTTATTTTCAATTTTGCCTAGTCTTGACACACACAATTTAATTTTAGGAGGCGAACCTCCTGAATTTTATTCAACTGTGCATCAAACCTATTCCAGGATTGACCATTTTCTCCTGGACAAGCAGTTACGTCCTTTACGCCCCATTCACAAGGGGCATCAGCGTCAACGCTTCCCGTTCACTTTGAATGGGTGACGTCAGGCGTTGCCGAACTGCATTGTGGATTCGTCGACGCTGCTTCAGAGGCATTGTTTCCTGCAAAAGTTGGGACTTGATCAACTTTTCAAGCGGCGATGGAAGCATCAGCCAACAGATCGCTGTATGCAAATACACCAGCTCAGACTGTGGCCTATTGCTGTGTAAATTCATTGGCTAACGCTGCTATGACGATTACGTCAGCCCCAACTTCAGACACGCTTTCTGTCAAGCGTTGACGCTGAAGCCCCGTGTGAATGGGGCAATAATGTCAGCAGTAGTGTATGGTAGTATTGTTATTTCGGAACATTGTCCAGTCTCTCTAAAGCTATGTTTTCAGGCAATGGAATCCTCCAACATACATGGCGGTTTAACTCAAGACTCTTGGCAGACGACGATTTTGTAAAATTTATTGATGCTCAAATTTATTTCTTCCTTGAGATAAACGAATCCCCAGAGATAAGTTTGAGCATCCTATGGTATACTCTGAAAGCATTTATAAAAGGACAGATTATTTAATATCAAGCTAGTGCAAATAAAAGAATGTCAAAACGGCTTACAGAGATTATGAATTAAATAATACAATTGATCAGCTACACTCAACATCACCTTCCGAAGAGCTCCATTAGAAAAGACTCCTTCTGCAAGCGGAATATGACTCCCTGACAAGTGAAAATGCAGAGGATCTCCACATAAGATCACGCTAGATTCATTATGAACGAGCTGCCAGGTTATTGTATTACCAACTGAAACAATCCTCAGCAGCTGGTTTTATAGCAGCAGTTAGTAAGGGTGAGGGCAGTATTATTACTGATTAACAGGGAATTAATGATCAATTTAAACACTTTTATAAAACCCTTTGCAGCTCTGAGGTAAACTAAATTGGACGTATTGAGAGCTTTTTCAATTATTTAGAATTGCCATACCTATGTGATTCAGATCAGTTGGCATTAGAATGAAATATAACACCTTCTGAAATTGAAAATGCAATTAAAAAATTGAAAACCGGAAAAGCACCAGGCCCTGATGGCTTCGGGCCGAGTTTTATAAGAAGTTTACTGCCAAGCTAACACCACTGTTGTGCAAGGTATTTGATGAAGCTCTTGTTTTGGAGACAATTTTTTTAGGTACTTTCAAGTCCATAGTTTTGTAAAAAAACACTTCTCTCCTTCACTGAACCAACCATAAGCATGTTGGATAGATAAATTGGTAAATATGGACTCATATCAAAGGGGTATGATGTCCATGTTATATGAAGTGGTCTAAAGAACTGCCTTCCCTTGCCTAAATTGTATAAAGCTGAAATGGGAAGACGGACTGGGACTAGAAATATCAGATACAGCCTGGCAATATGCCATAGAACTGGTACACTCATCTTCTGTATGTATTAGACATGGTCTTCTTCAGTTTAAGGTGCTTCTTAGGCTTCACCTATCTAGGAGCAAGCTGGCAAAAATGTATCAAGGGTCAGATTCATCTTGCCCCAGATGTGGTTTGGAGCCAGCAGATGTTCTGGCGATGCCCTAGATTGCATACATTTTGGGCCAATATTTTTAGATCATTTTCATCTATATGT